AAAAAAAAAAAAAAAAAAAGCAATCTTGATTGCAAAAGGACGGAGCACACACAACAGGTCCTCTGATGCTAACAGTAACAAACAATTTGTGTATGTTCTCAGGCTGTAAAATAGAAACACCAAATCGTTTCAAATGATGTGAAAGGTTGACAAAAAAAATCAGTAACTTCAAAGATTGGGTTTTTTTTTTTTTACCTACTCCGAAGATGAAGATGGCAACGAATCTTACAGCTGCAGTAAAAACCCTAACAGGGGCTTGAAATCACATTGAGCATACGATAAAAATAAAAATAAAAATAAAATAAAAATGGAAACTTTTCTAAAAAAACAAGATATCTGCTCATAAATTATGCACAAGCTTATTATAGCCAAGAATTTACTATACATGTATTAAATGAAAGAAAGTGCTGTGACTGTGAGCAGAGTGAAAGAGATGAACGCGAAATTTCACACAGTAATATATATAAACTGGGGAGAAGCAAGCCATTATTAAGTTAACATTACAAACCAAAAATGGAGTGTGATTTGTGAAATCTGAATAGTTTCTAGCTAGAGACTAAAAGCCAAAGCTAACAAAAGACGTTAATTTCTCTTTTTCAATTGGTTTTCTTCTTTTAGGGGAGTAAAATAAAATAAAAGTTGAAAAAGAGATAGATTCGGGAGAAGGGAAGCACACGCGCCGACGAAGCTCGTGGTTTTTGGCGGTCAACAGTCTCCGACAAAACGCCTTATCGTGTGGGCAATGAATGTGGCCTTACGGTAAAACTCAAGTATAGTATAATTAACTCTTATCGAAATTCTACTAAGTCATCCATGACTTTAAGTATTGACACGTGTCCAAAATATATTTATTGCAAGATACGTGTCAATACACTATTTGCAGATAATTGTGGATGACTCCATAAATCGAGTCATCCGATAGCTCTATAGCAAAATTGTTAACTCTTACATAGAATTTTAAGTTAAAAAATGCTACAAGTACATAATAAATGTACATAGATGTGTACATAACACTTACATGGAGTGAAGTCCACTTGATTTTTTATTTTTGATAGGACCTACTTAATATTAGTGTTATGTACACATTTGTGTACATTATTATGTACTTATAGCATTTTCCTTTTAAGTTATATTAAAATAATATTTAAAATAAAACAATTAAAATTGATTTGATGTGAAAAGAAGAGTGATGATATGAAATAGTGGTTAGTTAAAATTACTAGTGAATTAAAGTTGTTGTGATGTATAAGAATGATTAACTTATATTATCTAATAATATATATAATATCGAAGACAGACGATGAGATTGAATTAAATTTGAGTATGAATTGAATTTATTAATAAGCAGACAACTACAAGCAAATAAATTCGAGACAAGTATACAAAGATTAGCATAATACAAATATACATATCTCTATTAGATAATATCACATTGTTTAATAGCACGTTGGTTTCATCCAGTGTTCGAAAAGTCGGCCTAGGTGGCCGCCTAGGCGCCGGTACAACGCCTACGATTTGACCAAATCGGCCATAAAAATCGGCCAGGCGGGATCGGCGGCGCCTAGTCGGGCCTAGGCGGCTACGCGGTTTCAGCGGGACTAGGCGGCTGAGGCGGGTTCTAGGCGGCCGAGGCGGGTTCTAGGCGGTTTTTACAATTTTTTTTTTAATAAATGCATTTAGTTTAAAAAATAAATCTTATAATTTATTATTTTGTATTTTTTTATATTTATCTTATGTTGTATAATATTTAAAACATAACATGTAGATGATGTGTTTGATAAAATTACAATGAGAAAAAGTTATATTGTGATGATGTACTTATTTTGACTTGAATTTTTTTTTATAATATAATATCAATAATATTATTGGGACTTAGGTGTATGGATTTATTAATTATAAGTTATAATTTCATTAGTGAAATTGTAAAAAATAAATAAAAATAATATATTTATTATAATTTCTAGGCCCCGCCTAGGCGCCAACTAGGCCCCGACTAGGCGCTAGGTGCTGGTCGGGCGCCTTGCGACTTCTAGAACACTGGTTTCATCCGTCTAACAATTAAACTGTTTAATTAAATAATTTGCGAAATGTTTACATGGGCAAATTTACGCGTGTAACAATAAATGTTATGTCATTTTTTACCAAAAAAAAAACATTTTTTTCTTATCCTCACATATGCTTCTGTCACATTTCATCATAGCTTATGTATAACATATGACCTCCTATTTTTTTAAATGTCATTTTAGCCTTTTCAACTATTTGTCAAATAAATGTCATTTTAGATCTTTTGTACATATTTTTTCACTAGTACATCACTTGTGTATTACACGAGTGCTTGTTAAAAAATTATTCTTAAATTTTAAAATTAATAAGAAAATTATAATAAATTTAGTTTACTTTTTTACAAAAGAAAATATATTACTATAAATTTTAGAATGATATGTGTTACTTATGACTTATATGTGTTATATTATATTTGTTTTTATAACTTATATCATATAACTACTTGAAATATAAATATATTAGTTGATAAATAATTTTATTTTTCTAATTAATATTAAAAATAATTTTATTATTGTTATAACAATAAATATAAATTATTTTTTTTATAAATACAATATGAATGTTAAATCGAAACTCATCAAAAGAAGATTAATTTGATATATTACATATGTAAAACTGATAAAAGATACAAAAGTTATTAACTTTTAAAATATATATACAATTCAATAGTTATAATAAAGAATGATATTAAAATACAATTAATACATGTAACATGACCATAAATAATCAACATATTTATGGTAATCCGAACCTAATTATTTTTGGTTTTGAATTAAATTAAAATTTATCCAAGCCTAATAACAAAGCATGTAATTTTGCCACATAGGATTCCGAAGCACCAGAAGCAGCCACGTAGGCTCAACGCGTTCTGGATTAATATATAGGAGGATATATTACATATGTAAAACTGATAAAAGATACAAAAGTTATTAACTTTTAAAATATATATACAATTCAATAGTTATAATAAAGAATGATATTAAAATACAATTAATACATGTAACATGACCATAAATAATCAACATATTTATGATAATCCGAACCTAATTATTTTTGGTTTTGAATTAAATTAAAATTTATCCAAGCCTAATAACAAAGCATGTAATTTTGCCACATAGAATTCTGAAGCACCAGAAGCAGCCACGTAGGCTCAACGCGTTCTGGATTAATATAGAGGGGGATTATTACCCTCATTAGTCAATAAATAAATTACGTCTTTTCATATTCACTCTTCACTTTTTCTCAAAACATTCATCTCTATCTTCATTAAATAAGGTTATTATTGACAAAAAAATATTCTTAATTAGTGTGCAACTTTTCAAAACGACATATATTAAAAATTAGGAGGGAGTACTTATTAGGATTAAATGCTTGTCTTTTAGGTCACATGTGGCTTGGTAATCCTCGCTGAATTAATCTTTAATTTAAAGGCAAAATTAGGTGTAACAATAAAAAAGAATTGGGTGTGTAAAGGAGGACAAGACAAATATTAAAGGGGATTAGGTAATTGGTAGCAAATGGGCTCA